AAATAATTGAATTGAATTGAATTGAATTGAAAAGGACCACCGGGAATTTAGTATGCCGCCATTAAATTTCCGTATCTGTTCACATTTCCTTCCTTTGTGAGTAGTCTCGCTTCCTAAGATCCCTCACCACAAATGTTAATTTTTACAAGTTTTCAGTTCATGCATCGTGCCCTCACAGAATGCGCTTTATCGACGCTCTTGGTGAAACCCTCTGTATTCGCCATATACCAGTAGTCTGGTCGTATCTCCCTTGCCCAATCCTCGAATGGATTCGGATGAATGTAACCGACCGCATCTGGGTCCCTATCGCCTCGAGACTGGTTTTCAATTTCGCCACGTATTTGCCTTTTTCAAGGCCACATACACGCCAATCCTGACCGACCCGCCTACTTACTCCTTCATGAAATCCGTAATACAATGCCATATACAGCTGACATTTATTTCGGCCCTGTTGATGTCCGACTGTAATCTATTCTATACGGCCACCTGCAGGGCAGTCCTGCCCGAATTTTTCTGTTTCTATCTTTTCGAGGTTTTTTTTTTCTCCTGTAAAATTAATCCAATCATTTATAAATTTTTGTATGGAGTTTTTTTTCATCCCTCGCTTATCATTTTTCTGCACGGACTTCTTATTCAAAAACCATGTATTGCACTTTGTACAGATTTTGCCTACCTCGTCTAAAATTCGCATGTAAATTTATTCTTACCTGCTTTGGTGGGACCCCGACGGGTCTTTATTATAAATTATTACTATTAATTATTAATATTTTTTAAAGAGTCCGTGATCGGACATTCTGAGCAAATATGGTAACGCTTAGCAGTTCCACATCCCGTACCAGTCTATTTACATCAGCCATAGCGCTCAGCTTGTAAGTGACATAAATTATGACCCCTCCTCCTCGGCTTAGCCTGTCTTTCCTGAATTGCTGATGTCCTCTAAGTGATACTTCTGAATTTGCGATATCCTCTGGAAGCCACGTTTCTGTGAATGCCATAATGTCTGGCTTAATTTCATCAACTAACTCTCTTACTTCTCTCGTTTGTTGAAGAGGCTTTGCACATTTTCGGATATAACCTTCAATGACTGATTCGTTGGGCAGTCCCGACCTTCATTGTGACAGGTTCTGACCACAGGAAAGACCCCTTTTGTGGACTTTTTGTTCATTTTTCATCTTCAGCCCTTTCTCTCCCCTGCCAATTCTCTCCTTCAATTTTGATCTTAGTTCTCTCATTTTCAGTCTTTCCCTCGGTTCGTAGTCTGGTTGAGAAAACACTTCCTTGTGTGAGTTGCTGAAGGTCTTTCTACTTTCTAACAGAAGCGTTGCTTGGGTTTCGTTTTCCAAAATAACTTTCAGGGGTCTTGGGGATGTTTTAAGGTCACGATTTGGGCCCGCTTTGTCTAGTCGAAAAGCTTTTTTAACGGTGAATATTTCCCCATTCTTCAGGACGGCACTGGCATACTGATGAAGAAGGTCTAGGTCGTACGTCACTCGTTCCTTCATAATGCATGATCTGGACTCTGGGGCACCCCTTATGACAATATTTTGCCTACGACTTATGGAAGTGCTCATTACTGCTCCGACCGCGCTATAGCGCTATAATGCTACTGTAGTATTCCAGACGAATGTTAATACGGCGACATTAGAGTGATTTTCGGCCGGCGAAGAGGGGTATAGGGCACGGACTTTCATGTGACGTACTTGCTCCGGCAGTGGAGCTCTTACAATCATTATCCCGTTACAATTTACTGCACGAAGGCTTATCGTGTCCTTTTCCGTCAACGAAATAGTTAGGGCACATCTCAGTTGAGTTAGCCTTGTGAATAAGTGGAGTAACAGCATTACCTTCCAAGAATAACGGCGAGTCTTTGTAGTTTCTAAAAGGTCATCTGAGGGTCACCCTGTCTTTCCCAACTTTAGTGTTCGATGATTTGGCAGGTTTAGTTACTATAGCAGGTAATGAAACCTGACTTATTTTTAATGCATTAGCGTCGACCGCCTCTTTATCCACCGGAACTGATTCGTCTGGAATTTCCCCTGGAGACATAACTCGCTTCCTCTTCCTGACTGGCTTCGAGTTTTCCGCACCAGTGCCTTTATATGTAGGATGTTCGTCGCCTATCGATCGGAAATTTGGTGGATTATTGAGTAATTCTATTTTACTGTGCTTTAGAATGGCCATAGTGATGTCCGTCAGTAGGCCCTGCTTCTCTTCTAGCCTCCGGACTCGCTTTCCCAGTTCCTCACAGCCGACACAGCAACCGAAAAGCGCAGAATCCGTCCCGTCTGTCATACAGTTTTCAAGGCCTCTTGGCAGTTAATCGGTCCTTATTTCCTGTCTTGTCTCGAGAAGCCTATTGTGCTAAAGCCCCTGGCCTCTAATGATTACAGCGGCATTTTATCGCAAGAGACTGCTACTGAATTAAAGACCGTTCTCAGCTGCTCTTCTGTAGTTAACAAACTTATCTGACCAGCGTCCGACCGTAAGTCGGTAGTTTAGTGGTTAACACCCTGGCCTCCGAATCCGCAGGTAACGAGTTCAAATCCCCGTTGTGCAATTTTTGTGAACACGTTTTTTATAAGTGATTGGCTCGTTGTTTATGGTTTTCAAACTCGTCAGTCAGTTCTAGTGTAGTACAGGATGTTTTCAACAATTGTTAGGAAACACTTTTCCAATTTTAAAGTTAAATAAGAAACAACTCAACCGATTATATTGTTCGACGTAGACCTCGAAGAAAAATCGTCAAGAAGGGGGACTTGTACAGATGGGTGGACGATTGCAAATATCTCTTGCTGGAGAATTTGTGGCATACTTCACCGGCGCGAATTACAGGACTAATTAGTGGTTCTGTTCCTTGCAGTATTGGGGTGGAATCTTCCCCCTAATACCGTGGGAAATAACGTCGAGATCCGAAAATTCCAAGAATGGTAGAACTTTCGAGTTGGTGTACTCGAAACCCAAATCCAAAGGATTTTTTTCCACGCGAACGTCAGTCTGCCCTATACTACCAAATAAAATCAACGAAAACTCGGATAACTGGGGATTCGACTCACATTCGAAGGACGCGCGTGATTCAGGAACACCTTTGTGTCTCGTCCCCCGTATCTTTCCCGCTATTTCCGTTCCCTAATAAACACTCCCTCGTTCGACGAGATCTTCTGATTTGGAACGATGATCTGCCGCTTGCTTGCTACATGACATTCTGAAACTCGCAGACACCCCAACTTATTCGAGTCGAAAATAATTTCAGAGTCAGGCCGATCTCAATGTTCTTCAATTTCCATGAAGGACATATTATTCATGCCCCCAAAAACTACAAAACTGCACACTTCAATTTTTATGTAGTACATATCGTTTTTTAAGTTTTTTTTCCTGAGTCCAAAGGGGACTGACAATTCTTTAGGTCTGCTATAATAAACCTATTTTATTCTATTTATATATACTGAATTATTTCCGCTGATGATCTTAAATGTGTATCTTCATTCAATTAATCTGCGTCCCTTCATTGCCTGCAGCCAAACAATGCTGGCTTGCTTGCTCCCTCAGCATGGAGTTCAAAATGGCTAGTGGAATCCTATCCGTCTAACTGTCGGTATGTGTGTTTTGGACCTGAGAGGCTACCCCATTCAGTGGTCTTTCAAGGCACACCTATGACTGAATGTATCACCATTAAAAATTTAGTTTTAAGCTACACAAATAATTTTGATCTCTCACCACACGCTGACCGAATTACAGTCAAATCTGTCAGATTTGTGGCTTTATTTCTTGCGATTTCTATCTTCCTGAAAGTAAATTAAGACTTTATTGTATGTTTGTAATTCCCATTCTCGATTATTGTCGCCCATTCTTTGGTTTGATGAATTAGACTAGTTTTTTAGAAAGTTCAAAATGTTCAAAATCATTTTGTTAGAAGACTCTTGGGTACGGAACACCCAAATATTTCCTATTCAGATAGATGTCAGACTACTAACCTAAAATTTCTATGGGTTTGAAGACTAGAAGCGGGCTTTCGTCTCCTCTCTCTCATTTATAATAGTTCAAATATTCCTCCAATTACAATCCTTGCCACCAGTAGTCCTCCATACAATCTTCGCAATCCTTCCTCGATTATACTTCCCCCCGCTTCCTCCACCCCTATGTGCTCTATTTTTTTCGCGTCCAGGTGTGCTTTTCTCTGGAATAACCTTCCGACAAATAAAAGATTTTCAGATAGTCTACACACTTTTAGGAGAGGGCTGCGCCCTTATCTGTATACTGGCTCCTTTAAACTTTCAATTATCTCATTCGTCTCTGAAAACTTTCTCGATGACACTGAGGAAGGGCCATCGGACATCTAGGATGCCGCCACAAAACTACTGTACCCAGGTCACATTTTCTTCTTTTGTGTGTAGTATCGTTTCCTGAGATCCCTCATCAGAAATGCCAATTTTTTCGTTTTTTAGCACGTGCATCGTGCCTCTCACAGGATGCGATATCCTTCCTGGCAAATTCTCTCCGACAGATATCGTGGCTAGATTGACGTACACGCCCTAAGCCGCCTTAGTTTCGCTGGTCGTCGACACACATCAGAAACCAACTCTGGCCCCAGCAATTTCAATCCCCCGCCCCTAATCGTTCACTTTCGCAGATCCTGATATCAACTCCCCATTTCGACCTCAAGTGGTCTGCTGACGATCACATTGGAATCCTGTGTTTTCGCTATTTGCTAGTAGTTTGGTCGGTCACCAAATAGACCTGAGGGTTGTATTCTCCCCTCTACGCTTTGATAACCGACCTAGCGTTTAATGTCCCATTCTCGGCTGGACTATAAACGGACTGTTTTCAGTTCAGTTCAGTTGAGTTCAGTTTATTGAGGGAAATAGGCGTAAGCCTTTGAGTACCCTATTTGCAACGTAAAAAATTTGTGGTGTACAGATAGATGTTCTGGGCTGAAATAGTTCGAACACGCCCATAATGGTGGGACAAAATGAGAAGGAGTTACAGGGGGTGAGCTCGACTTCTCATCGCTCTTGGTCATTTCGGAACATAAATATGTCCAGATTCTTCTTAAAAATTTCTATAGATGGTGACATCACAACATCTGCGGGAAGCTCATTCCATGGTTTGACCAGCCGAACCGAGAAGGAGAACTTCCGCACATCCAGCCGTGCCTGCTGAGTGCGCAGTTTGAACGGATGACCTCGGAGGTTGGTCGTGGTAGCAAATTCAAAGAAGTCCTCGAAGGCCAGACTGCAATCCAACCCCTTTACAATGCGGAAGGCTTGCAAGAGATCTCCGCGAAGTTGCCTGTAACTCAAAGGAAAGAGGTTCAGATTTACTTGGCGGGTCGCATAAGGAAAGGAGCTTTGACCCCTGACCATCTTCGTGGCTCTCCTCTGGACTCTTTCGAGGCAGTTTTGATCCACAACAGCCCACGGCCTCCAAGCTTGTATGCCGTACTCTAAATGCGGCCGGAGAAATGTTCCGAATGTCTTAGAGAAAGCTTCTTCGTCAAAGTCCATAAACGCACGCTTGATGGCGTACAGTACGGACATTGCGCTTTTTGCCACCCTCGAACAGTGGGCGGATGGTTTTAGGGAACTCGTCGTCAGCAAACCGAGGTCCCTTTGGGCTTCGACCTCTTGTAGGGCTGCACCGCCCAGAAAGTAGCCTCTTGTGCTGGCGGATCTGGCTGTGTTGCCTAGGCGAAGTATGCTAAATTTGGCAACGTCGAACCGCAGGAGCCGACGGTTTGACCACTCCTCCAACCGATTCAGGTGCATCTGCAGTCTGTCTTCATCGGCAGGACCCCGAATTACACTCCATATCTTCATGTCATCCGCAACCATTGCTACTTCACAGTCTAAATCTCTTGCGGCATCGTCCACGTAGATAAGGAACAAAATGTGTCCCAGTACAGAACCCTGGGGGACACCACTCTCGACCATAGCCGGATCTGATTATCCCCGACCGACGCACACAACCTGGTGTCGACCCACAAGGAAGTTTTCGATCCATTTAAGGAAGTTGCCACTGATCCCTATTTTTTCAGCTTCTGTAAGAGCCTTTGGTGTGGCACAGTGTCGAACGCTTTCTGGAAGTCGATGAAGGCTATGTGGACCGCGTGCCTGTCGTCGAGAGCTTGGGTCCAGCTCTGGAGAGATTGCAGCAAGTTTGTCGTGCAGAATCTTCCTTTCCGGAACCCATGTTGGCAGTTCGATAGCAGACCGTGAACTTCCAGGAATTGCATCAGTTCACTCTTATTGATCCTTTCCATAACTTTGCAGAGAATGCGTGTCAAGCTTATGGGCCTGTAATTTGTCGTCTCTGCCCTGTTACCTCCTTTGTGTAGCGGAGTAATATGCGCCAGCTTCCAATCGATAGGAAGTGTTCCAGTGTCAAATGACGTTTGAAAGAGCATCGAAAAAGGCACAGAAAGCTCACTGGCAAGTTCCTTCAGAAGCTTGGATGGAATCTCGTCTGGTCCTGGCGACTTCGATTCGTTCAATGCCTCTAACTGTCTTCGGACAATGCCTTCTGAGAAGAGTATATCACTGACGCTTGGGGTCGGCATTTCTTCTGTGGAGGGAGGAAGGAACCTTGCCTCGTTTGTGTAGACTGATTGGAAAAACCGTGAAAAATACGCAGCTTTATCCCTACTATCAGCGATCTCAACGCCATCAGAAGTCTTTATCAAGGGGATTTGATGCCTGTTCCTCGTACTTCGTCGGAGGTGGCTGTAGAGCAATTTTGGGTTCTTCGTTGCTTTTTGTAGCACGTTCTTCTCGAATTACCGCCGCGTCTGCATTATCAGCTTCCTCAGTTTGTTCCTCTGTGTCTTGTAAGTCTTGAAGCATTCAGCTTGTCTAGTGACGCAGTATTTTCCCCACAATTTGTGCTTCCCGTTGATTTTTTTCTTAAGGTTGCTATTTAGCCACCCAGGGCGTTTGTTCAGTCTTACACCAGTCAATGGGCAGTGGTTGTTGATGAGCTGCAGAAGGACATTCTTGAACAGCTCCCAGTCATCGTTGGCACTTCCCGTAAACAATGAGCCCCAGTCAAGACCGGATAAGTCTGCCCTCATCTGATTGAAGTCGCCCCGCCAAACATTACGCCTTTTGTGGTCTGGAGTATGTGAAATGGAGAATAACGAATAATCCCACATAAGCACTACGTGGTCACTTCGGCCAAGGGACGGCATGGAGGTGATCTCGCCTATGCTGTCTGGTGTTTTCGTAAAGACCAGATCCAGGCAGTTTGCCCTTTGTCCTTCACGTGTTCTCGTTGGGAACATTACATGTTGTGTGAGGCACGCATTTAATGTCTTGCTCAACAGGCGGTAATCGAATGCCGATTTTGGACCTGACGCTTGGAGGGTATTCCAGTTTGTTCCTGGTGCGTTGAAGTCGCCCATGATCATGATGTTAGGTCGACTGGAAAATTTCTCTAACTGCTCCGATAGTTGAGTGTCGACGATTCGGTCTGTCCTAGGTGGTCGGTAGACAGTGAGGACATCGAGACACGGGGAACCGGTAGCCTTGATGGTCAACCAGATAGCTTCCATACTGCACGCAAACTTGGTGGTGTTATCCGACACTGCCAGACCGTCATTCACATACACAACGATACCACCACCCTGACGATGTTCCCTGTCCCTCCGATAAATTTGGTATCCAGGCAAGGCTACTTTGTTATCGCTAATATTCCCGGACAGCCAGGTCTCAGTTACTGCTAAAACATCTGGAGTCAGCTCAACAAGGCAAAGTTTTAGTTCGTCTAGTTTCTATATGAGGCTTTGGGCATTCGTGTACAAGCACCTCAGTTTAGCACCAGCCGAATTTCCCGTTGCATTTGTTACTGCTGCGAGCATTACTCCGTTATTGCGGACGTCGTGTTCTCTAGGCTCTTCCGTTACCTGATTGGTTCCATTTGCATGCCTTGTTTCAGTCAGATCACTGGACTCTACGGGCTCACTTGTGTTGGCGCCTTGATCAGGTGGTTCAACGAAGGTGTCTGTTTTAGCTGAGCAGATGTCGTCGTTCGTAGTATTACAGGCTGGTTCCACTGAAACGGCATATATTTCCGAACTACCTTCCCCTTGAAGATAGCCAGATTGTGTTCGCCATCCTTCAGTCTTGATCTTAACTCCAAGACAAGTTCCCGGCGTTTCAACCGTTCCGCTGGTGAATAGTCCGGTTGAAAAAAACCCGTTTGTGTATGTTTCTGAGATCAGTTTTTTTAGAGAGGATAAACTTGATTTGCTCTTTGTTCTCCAGCATAATTTAGAGAGGGCGAGGTGGTTGTGCTACTGTCCTGTCTTCACTCCTTTTTCCATTCCGGAATGCTTTCAGAACCTTTATTTCCATGTCTGCCGGCAGTAAATGATTTAGCAAACCATGAAAAGAAGCAAGGTCCTCTGAGACACGGTCTTCAGGTCTGACTGCATTCGATTCTGACAAACCCTGAATAACCAGACACTGCTGGCGAGCATGGTCCTCCTTAATCTGTCTTTCCGGTGAATGCGCTGCATGTGGGCGAGGACGATTTACGGAGTCATCGCTTGGACGCACACTTTCACTGTCTACCGACTGTCCCGAGCAACCCATCAGGGCTGGCTATGACTTCAGAATCCTGTCATGGCGTTTCCCTCTCCCCTCTACTCACGGGTTTATATCTTCGCATTCAAATACGTGCTCTGTAGTGTGCTCGGGGTGGTTGCCAGAACAAGAGGGCAACAGAAGACTGAATGATCCAGGTATATCGCCTCCAGGCAGAAGTGAAATCCCATCACTTACAGCAAGAGGCTTAGGTGAGATGGCTTCCGTGACAGGTAATTTTTTTGCGACATCGCTTAAGACATCGTGCGTGGGAATCGAGTTTCCCTTTATCGGCGGCTTCGTTTTCATTCTCCTGCTGTTACCGGCGTCTGCGGTTTTGGCTGTTGAGTTGCTACTCGTGTTTGAAGATTCCTCCGAGGAGATATTTTTTCGCGTTTTTTGCGTTTTGCTCTTCGTTTTTGGGATTCTAACACTGGACACGTTCTGGCCGACTACGGTCTCTTTCACGAGCGTCCTTAAATCAGCAAGCTCCTTTTCCAGTTGTTCTACTTTGATTTGAATATCTGCGCACCCAGCACAAGGCTCGTCTTCGTACCTCACACTTTTTGCAGTATTTACGCTTTTTGCACGCTTTGCTGGTCGTTGGCTGGAGGCGAAGGTTGAGCGAGCACAGGGTCTGGATGCGAAGGACAACTCACCGGACTTATCTTCCAAAGAGGTGCCGTCGCTGGCCGTACTACTACAGTTAGCCTGCTGAGAATCCATAAACTTCGACGTGATATAATAGGTATAATTCCGCTTTCAATGTTATAACGAATACGTCGGCTTATATATGATGAATGAAAGTGAGTATTCAAAACTCAATAAGCGAAAAAATACTTAAAATCCGATAAATTTTTTTGAATGTAATCAGAAGCGACTTAGCCCTTTCCAGATCTCGTGGGACTTGAATAACTGCAGACCTTGAAGGATTTTGAGCGCTTGGTTTTCTAGGCTGTATATCCGCGATTCGGTTGCGTAGCCAGTTGCGTTGTCAGTTGGACCGTGCTGATAAACAAATTGCACTTAATCCAGGTTCCTGGCGAATTTCGATGCGTGGAAAATATTCCAAAAATGCACAAAGCAATTCTGTACGTACGGTTCCAGTATCAATGTCAGAGACTGTAACTGTGGAATAGTAACCAAGTCGAAATTGTCCCAGTTGGAGCGCAGAATAATTCCGTCGTGCTCAGTTGGGCTCACGCTCAGGTTGTGTCTAGGTTCCTCTGTCTTGCCACTTTGATGCGGAGAACCTCACTCGGTTTAGGAAGCTCTGCCTTACAAAACACCATATAAATGCCAGTCCCGTTAGACCCGCATAATAAAGTGCAGCAAAACAAGAAGAGGCAGCGAACGAAGTCGCTTGACAAGTATTCCGACTCAATCAATAGAGAGGAACAAAAAGAAAACAGACGGGCATGAAACTGATTCTCGCATTTCCCTAGTTTTGGCGAATCCGGGGCATACAGAGCCCGTCTTCACCAAAATAAGTCAACGATTAACGACACCAAGAAAAACTGCAGACCCTCATCATATGGATTCACCTACACCAAAGGGCGATAGCAGCTCTCTCTACGCATGTCCATTGGACTTTAAGGCAGCAAGTCATGAGAGGCGACAAAGCAAAGGTGCAAAGGCGCTCATAACGGAAGTGTGCAACTTAAAGACAGACCTGTACGCCACAATCCTAGGAACACATTAGCTGGGCGCCAGTCAACGGACGGAATGTTAGAAGAAGTAAATACGGATGAAAGACCCAACGCGATTTTACATCAACAACCACTAAACTGTCCGCCTGAGAGCAGTGTAAGCAAAATAATTAGAGTAGAATTAAAGTGCTAATTCAAACTACTATCAATAGGAGATAGCAAGATAGGGAGACAGGTTTTTTCCCCAAATATCATTTTTTTGTGGTGGTCCAGGGAGTCCCGGAGGTTACTGCTGAAATCCCAAAGGAGAGGGTGAATCAGGACCTTTGGACAATCCAAAATTTGCAAATGACATTCAAGAACCCGGTGAGGTGGTTGAAATACAAAAGATCTTTCGTTTGTGGCCTGTAGTTAGGGGCAACGCAGAGGAGATGCGGCCAAGGCCATTGAAAGTCGTCTTGGGAAGCTAGTAGCAGGCAGATGTAATCTTATTTCGGAAGTCCAGACTAGGGAACAACAACCGTGGGGTGCTTTTTAGCCGGACTACTCTCCCTTCCATCGAACGAAAAGGCGAAGAATTATAGCAGAGCTAAAAGGGCGTCAGAACGAGGGAGAAAATATCTGAAGATTGTAGACAACGAAATCATCAAAACAGACCGCAAGTTTCTATGGCATCGTTCGGTAAAATTAACGGTTACCACG